ACACCAAGAGTACAGCTGGAGAATACGTGAAGTTAACGCGAGTAGAAGAGGAATACGTACTTTCACATCGAGACACAGGAGTGCACCATTTGTCGACCCCTCACCCGAGAGACAGGGTGGGGTATGTAAAGGAGGAAGGACAGTGTAAGGAAGGGCGAGAAATAGCCTCTCTTCCCCCAGAGAGAGAGCGGCAGCTGATTGGCTGTTGTGCCGACTGGGAGAGGCCCCACCACGCCCGGCCCCGCCCGGCCCCAGCCGGCCCCAGCCGGCCCGGCCTCGCCCCGCCCCGCCCTGCCCCACCACGACCCGTCACGGCGCCTTCTGACGAGGTAGTTCGGTAGTTGTATTACACGGAGTGACAGGGGGAGAGCAGGGGGTAAGCGCCTTACACTGCCGGAGCCCAATTACACGATCTTGCTTGACCAGAAAAGTTGGGCATGATTATGGAAAAGCGGCGAGGGGTTGGGGGGTGGGGGGTTGGGGGGAGGGAGATAGAGACGGGAAAGACGGGGGAGATGGAGGCGGGGGTATTATTAAAAGAGGATCGCGAAAGTAAGTCAAATGTTGGCGCTTAGACTTTACGTGTCGGCGAGTTAAAAACTTCGACCCCCAACCCACCCCTACCCTGTGAATCCGCGAAAGGGCAGGGTCGACAGGAATGTAAGAAGAATAAGAAAAAGGAGGAAGAGATGGAGAACAAGAAGAACAAAGAAGACACCCGCAGGCCAGTTCTAGTTCCTTCATTTATAATATCATGCAACACTGTTCAAAGGCAGCATTACTGCTCTTAAGGTATTAAAGTTTACGTTTTTCAAAATATATATCTCGGTTACTTATTCTTGTTAGCCTATCTTCGAGATCCACACAAAATCCGCGTCAACCGATGAGCTTATGTGATTGGGGTTCTACTTCCTCTTCACTTCATCACTATGTACCGGGTGATTCAGAGAAGACGCAGGTGCAGGCGGGTTGGCCTACCCAAGGGGCTATGGCACCTTACGGGCAGAGCGGGTAGGCAAACCTGCCTGCACCTGCGTCTTCTCTGAATCATCCGGTACTTACACGCACGTGTACGGTATATCTTACACGGTTGTGTAAAATTTCGTATGTAATTTCGTGCAGTATCAAATGAGCAAACGTTACATACAGGGGAAAAAGAGCCCAGTAGTGTGTATATATTTCCCCAAATTCTCTTGGAAAAAAGACAATTGTTTTTATCTTTAAAAGTTTTACATTTCGAATGAAAAAATTCATCTAATAAAATTAGCGCAGCGAAGAATTACATTGATGAGCACTCAGACGACAGGAACGACGGCGTATATTCTGCGAACGATGATCTTGGTCACATGAAAAGTGGAGGGCGAGGAAGGCGAGGCCACCTGGTTCGCGCATAAGCCTGCGACCTCCTCGGCAAACGGGCCGCCCGAAGCCGTTAGAACGCGTTACCTGCACATCAACGTGACAAATAGATGGTAAAGGAAAGGCTCAACACGTTTTACCTTCCGGATATTTATTTACACTGACGTGTTGGCAAATTGCTCCGCTTGTATGGACCATTGAATGGACACGGCGGAGCTATGGTGCCTAAGAACTGCATTCTTATAAGGGTCAAAGAGTGCAAGTACCTGCCATGGCAGTGGACTCGGTGAGGATTGTGGTGCGGACATCCAAGAACGCCCCGTACTCGGAATCGGCCTCATTAGGCATGGGAGTGGTGCTCCTTTCGACTGAAGACGATGGCACAGCCTCCGTGTACTTTGAGGCCGCGGCCGAAGCAGAGGCCTGGCAACGGCGTGCCCTGGCTGGGCAACGCCGGGCAACGTGCCCCGCCCGTCCGCATGCAGCGCACGGCACATTCACATATGGAAAGGCGGCGCGTAGAGACGGATTGCCGCCGCAACCAGCACGAGGAGAAGGGCTCGATCTCGATCCAAGGTCCCTATGTTTTGAAAAGATAAATAAAAAGGAGGCGGAGGGTATGACGGTGTCAAATAAATACCTTAGTAAATTTACTACATATTATGCCTCGTATTTTGCATATGTACCGGGTGATTGATTCAGAGAAGGCGCAGGTGCGAACGGGTTTGCCTAACCAAGGGGCTATGGTGCCTTACGCGCAGAGCGGGTAGGCAAACCTGCCTGCACCTGCGTCTTCTCTGAATCACCCGGTACTTATACTTTGCAGAATACGTTGTAAAATTTACGACAGCCCATTAATACTTGCTCGTCAATAAATTCTAAGGAGACACAAATTGCTTGTAATTTTACAACACGCAACGTGGATTTTTTTCTATAACCCTTGCAAGAATTTCTTACAGAGTTTGAAGAATTAGTAGGTTCAATTAATTGTGATATCGATAAGAGAGCCAAAGGATCGAAATCGTGACGAGGCAGTGCTAGGCTGACGACGGTATGGAGCCATAGTGCGGTGGGGTGGGTGAGGTAGAGTGGAGTGGGGTGGAGTGGGGTGGAGTGGAGTGGGGTGCGGTGGGGAGGGGTGGGGGGAGGCCGGTCGGGGCGGGAGGCAGCACCATAGACATACGAGCAGGCACACGTGGCTTTGGAGACGCTTTGCACAGACTGTCGGTATGTTGCTTTGAGGGACGCAATACGGTTTAAATTTGCATAGTAATAGAAAACGAATTTAATTCAAGGCACAGCTGCGTGAAGCGCATGCGTGAGTGTGTGTGCGTGTGTTTTCAGAGAGACTGTGTGTCTGTCGCGTTCGATCGTCCTTCGATATCAAGCTCCAAAGGTCCTCTGCTATAGTTTTACAGTAAATCCTCACGTGTGGCTCTTCGGCTCTTCGACTCTTCACCTCTCTAACCCCTTTGCCCATGGATTGCCCACGGTGCAGCAAGATCGTGCGTTTCAATGTTTTGCAGGGCTATGTTAACGACACCCCCCTGCAGTGCTCCACGGACGCAAAACCAGCACCCAGGGATGTTTCGTTAACACGTTCAATGCTGCCCATTTCTAGAGCCAACGATTGAGCGGGAGCGTAAGCACGAGGTCACGTCGCACTAAACGCTTCAACAGCCCTGTCAAAATTTTAAACACAAAACAAGCACGCCCTAGACTTGTACAATTGAATGGTTTTTATGAGAAATTATTGAAAGCATACGGACAGACATAAGGCATTTGATTCGTATATTTAAAAACAATAGTACTACCCCGTTGTTCTCTATATAATTGCTAAGCGAGCGAAGCCCATATAGCGACGCGGGGAGGACAGCCCGAACCTGAGTCCAAGGCTTAGTCCACGACCAGCAGGGCGCAAGGTGGGAAAGTGGGGGCGGGGAGCTGGAGTGTTAATTCCCACGCCTTAATTTTCACCTTAATTTTCACTCGGCCAATTCCCTGCAGCAGTCCTCGCTCTCCCGGCTACTTGGCCCTAGTCGCTCCACTGCCTTAATGAAACGCAAATATTGTCTCAATGTCGACTTTAAGGCTCATCAAGAAATAAAGAATGGGGGCAGAAAAGACAGGGGGAAGAAAAAGAATGAGCTATGCAAGATAACCCATAACAAAATCGTCGAAATGATTTTGCCTCCATTATTTGAGTGCAGTAGGCCGCGACTGTCCGCAGCCGGACCACATGGACCATCTCCTCGTCTCCAGTTCATGCTCGCGTCCGCGACCCCCCGCTGCTGCATCCCCTTGTTATAATTTGCAGATTAAACACGACGAGCAGCGGGAGGGTAAAAGAGAAATGGAGACGCGGGAGAGACGGAAAGAAGAGCGAGAGCCGAAAGCTGAGCAGTGGAGGCGAAGAGAGACAGAGAGAAACGCTCCTTACTCAACTCTGCCGACAAGGCGACCTCTGCTAGCGTTTTATAAAGTACATATTGAGGTCTTGCTCGCAGCGCGGCGGCGGGGGCGACGTTCTGGTTAGATGGCGTGCAAGGAGGGGGGGGGGAGAAAGTGGGACGAGGGAATCAGGACAAAGAGAAGCTGGGGAGTCTGACAGTACATCCATGCCAAAAGAGCGAGCAGGAGCGAAAATACGGGAAAGAGAGGGGGGGAAGCAATGTACGCAGACAGAAATGAACGTTTTACGCGCCCTGGAGCGTTAAAGATTACTGGCGTCTTGGGAAAGCGGGGGAAGAAGGGGAGGGGGGGAGATAGATAGATAGATAGATAGAGAGAGAGAGAGAGAGAGAGGTGGGGGGACGTATGAGAGCGCGAGAAAAGATAGAGGGGGTGGGGGTGTTTGACTGGCGTGGCGTGCGCTCTCTGTGAATCTCGCGGGGGCATGTCCTCTATTCACGGGCGCGCCACCATACTTTCAACAAATTTCGAACATTTGGGAAAATTCCAAACATTTGGGAAAATCCGAAACATTTTAAAACTTGTATATATAATTTTGGGAAATTTTTATGAACTGTTGAGTAAAATTCCTAATTTAATCCCGAAATTGTGAAAGGGAGAGATCCGCGGAATGCTCCAACATGTTGAAAAGTGTCTAACGTTTGCCGTATGGCGTGAGAGTAGTGACTAAAAGCCAGTGAAAGCTCGACGCCATGCGCATTAAGTCATCTGCTTTCACGTCCGGGTTTGCCTAACCAAGGGGCTATGGTGCCTTACGCGCAGAGCGGGTAGGCAAACCTGCCTACACCTGCGTCTTCTCTGAATCACCCGGTACTTATACTTTGCAGAATACGTTGTAAAATTTACGACAGCCCATTAATACTTGCTCGTCAATAAATTCTAAGGAGACACAAATTGCTTGTAATTTTACAACACGCAACGTGGATTTTTTTCTATAACCCTTGCAAGAATTTCTTACAGAGTTTGAAGAATTAGTAGGTTCAATTAATTGTGATATCGATAAGAGAGCCAAAGGATCGAAATCGTGACGAGGCAGTGCTAGGCTGACGACGGTATGGAGCCATAGTGCGGTGGGGTGGGTGAGGTAGAGTGGAGTGGGGTGGAGTGGGGTGGAGTGGGGTGGAGTGGGGTGGGGTGCGGTGGGGTGGGGTGGGGTGAGGCCGGTCGGGGCGGGAGGCAGCACCATAGACATACGAGCAGGCACACGTGGCTTTGGAGACGCTTTGCACAGACTGTCGGTATGTTGCTTTGAGGGACGCAATACGGTTTAAATTTGCATAGTAATAGAAAACGAATTTAATTCAAGGCACAGCTGCGTGAAGCGCATGCGTGAGTGTGTGTGCGTGTGTTTTCAGAGAGACTGTGTGTCTGTCGCGTTCGATCGTCCTTCGATATCAAGCTCCAAAGGTCCTCTGCTATAGTTTTACAGTAAATCCTCACGTGTGGCTCTTCGGCTCTTCGACTCTTCACCTCTCTAACCCCTTTGCCCATGGATTGCCCACGGTGCAGCAAGATCGTGCGTTTCAATGTTTTGCAGGGCTATGTTAACGACACCCCCCTGCAGTGCTCCACGGACGCAAAACCAGCACCCAGGGATGTTTCGTTAACACGTTCAATGCTGCCCATTTCTAGAGCCAACGATTGAGCGGGAGCGTAAGCACGAGGTCACGTCGCACTAAACGCTTCAACAGCCCTGTCAAAATTTTAAACACAAAACAAGCACGCCCTAGACTTGTACAATTGAATGGTTTTTATGAGAAATTATTGAAAGCATACGGACAGACATAAGGCATTTGATTCGTATATTTAAAAACAATAGTACTACCCCGTTGTTCTCTATATAATTGCTAAGCGAGCGAAGCCCATATAGCGACGCGGGGAGGACAGCCCGAACCTGAGTCCAAGGCTTAGTCCACGACCAGCAGGGCGCAAGGTGGGAAAGTGGGGGCGGGGGGCAGGAGTGTTAATTCCCACGCCTTAATTTTCACCTTAATTTTCACTCGGCCAATTCCCTGCAGCAGTCCTCGCTCTCCCGGCTACTTGGCCCTAGTCGCTCCACTGCCTTAATGAAACGCAAATATTGTCTCAATGTCGACTTTAAGGCTCATCAAGAAATAAAGAATGGGGGCAGAAAAGACAGGGGGAAGAAAAAGAATGAGCTATGCAAGATAACCCATAACAAAATCGTCGAAATGATTTTGCCTCCATTATTTGAGTGCAGTAGGCCGCGACTGTCCGCAGCCGGACCACATGGACCATCTCCTCGTCTCCAGTTCATGCTCGCGTCCGCGACCCCCCGCTGCTGCATCCCCTTGTTATAATTTGCAGATTAAACACGACGAGCAGCGGGAGGGTAAAAGAGAAATGGAGACGCGGGAGAGACGGAAAGAAGAGCGAGAGCCGAAAGCTGAGCAGTGGAGGCGAAGAGAGACAGAGAGAAACGCTCCTTACTCAACTCTGCCGACAAGGCGACCTCTGCTAGCGTTTTATAAAGTACATATTGAGGTCTTGCTCGCAGCGCGGCGGCGGGGGCGACGTTCTGGTTAGATGGCGTGCAAGGAGGGGGGGGGGAGAAAGTGGGACGAGGGAATCAGGACAAAGAGAAGCTGGGGAGTCTGACAGTACATCCATGCCAAAAGAGCGAGCAGGAGCGAAAATACGGGAAAGAGAGGGGGGGAAGCAATGTACGCAGACAGAAATGAACGTTTTACGCGCCCTGGAGCGTTAAAGATTACTGGCGTCTTGGGAAAGCGGGGGAAGAAGGGGAGGGAGGGAGAGAGAGAGAGAGAGAGAGAGAGAGAGAGAGAGAGAGAGAGGTGGGGGGACGTATGAGAGCGCGAGAAAAGATAGAGGGGGTGGGGGTGTTTGACTGGCGCGGCGTGCGCTCTCTGTGAATCTCGCGGGGGCATGTCCTCTATTCACGGGCGCGCCACCATACTTTCAACAAATTTCGAACATTTGGGAAAATTCCAAACATTTGGGAAAATCCGAAACATTTTAAAACTTGTATATATAATTTTGGGAAATTTTTATGAACTGTTGAGTAAAATTCCTAATTTAATCCCGAAATTGTGAAAGGGAGAGATCCGCGGAATGCTCCAACATGTTGAAAAGTGTCTCACGTTTGCCGTATGGCGTGAGAGTAGTGACTAAAAGCCAGTGAAAGCTCGACGCCATGCGCATTAAGTCATCTGCTTTCACGTCAGCGTTAACGGGTTTTATCCATAGTCACGGCTTCTGCTATGCCGATGCTGTCGCAATAGTAGTCTCGCCAGCAGCAAGAGGGTGGGTCGGGATAAGACCCTCAAGCTTTATGCCGACAAAAGGGCTCTGCAAACGCCTCCCCCGGCACCCTCCTGGCTCCCTGGCTCGACCCACCGCGCCGCGCAGGGCCGCGCACTGTGAAAAATATATTTCTTGATTTGCAAACGATGCTGAAAATGAAAATTGAATACCGCTATCGTCAAATGACGACAAATTGCGACAGACCATTTTTTCTCGTCGTACGATTCTGATGCAAAACGTGGAGTCTTCAGAAACGTGTCGTAATTATACAATTTAAAATCGTAATTTTACAAGATTTCTTTTGTAAAGTTTACTCGTGACTCCTGCAAATGATTTTCGCAGTGCATCCGGATCTACCCTGTCCGGCCGGCGTTTGGCGTGCGGTGCGCGGGGTGGGAGCAACAGGTGAGGGCGCGGGCGGGCCCCGGGGCTCGCTGACAGGTGGACAGACGGACACCGGAGGTGGGCCGACACTGGCAAAAATAGCGGCGGAAATTTACAAAATTTTTGTAAACTCGAATCATAATTTTAAGTTGTAAATTTACAAAAGCACATTTTTCACTCGTCAATGTATTTTAAGCCGATACGTACTGCATTATTTTAACGATTAAAAATTGTAATTTTACAAATTGCATGAAAGAAAATTTTCCTGTAAACCTCTCGCACAATTTTTCACAGTGGACTGGCAGGCGATCGTGACACAACCTGTTAATGCCATTTACGATAAAATTCTGGTCCACTAGTATACTGGTTGCGAAGTTGGGAAAGAAGTTTCAGTTCTATGCCACACCTTAAGAACTGGTAAACCGGTAAACAATTTTAGAAGTGCACCCAGAAAACCGTTTAGTCCAGAGACCCAAATTCAAAACCGACGAAATGTTAGCTCTGGAGACCAAAATTTATCCGTGGCGATGGAATAATTTAGTCTAGCTGACTTAATTTGATTGGTGCGACCATATTTAGTTAACAGTAGGGTTAGTAAATCTTAGCCGGTTTTAGGAACTAAATTTTGTTTCTTGCAATCCTGATTTAGTTGTATGAACTAAATGGTTCTCTGGGTGTGCGGACCCAGTAGCAATACTTACTATATCGAATGCAGTTGCACACGCAAGTCCATACATTTTGATGTTTCGCGACCTCAAGTTGAACAATTCTAGCTGTGCAACTGCTAGTTAAACAAAACTAATACCGTCATTGCGCGCTTGCAAGAGTTCAACATCAACACCTACGTGCGTCCAACACAAATGTTCGACTACTTGCTAGAGGGGAGGGTTTTTTTTAACGGTTTCGACGGTTTCTTGGCGCACGGTGTCCCGACACTTCTTTCGGACTGGGTGTCTTCCTATTGACGATCAAGGCTATCCGAATGCAGCGCTAACAAGTAGCAGTGGTGGGCGCAGGCGCCCCACCCAGGCGAAAGCAGCAGGCACACAGCCTTCGCGTGCCGCGCAGCAATAATAGCGCGCGCTAAGCACTCTAAGTGAGGGTGGCGGAAATTATGACACGGCAAACTGAGCAAAAGAGGTGAATATTTAATTTTGAGGGGAGGGCACGCCATCCGCTAGGGGGGAGGGGGGCTGAGAGCCTGAGAGTTATCATAGAGAGGGGCGGCGGGGCATAGTGCAGAGACAGGTTGGGGACCGCTATGGCTGGGGCAGGTAATGGAGGGTGACGGGGGCCGCGGCCGGGGCGAGCGGAGCGGTGAGGTGGGAGGCCTGGCTGAGGTGAGGCGAGCGCACGGCGGCTGTCTTGACAGCGTTAGGCAATTTGCCGCGCACGCGTGTGATGACAGCCAGGTAAGGAGAGAGCGGGGAAGGGCAAGAG